TAAAAAAACTTTCGAATCGAACTTCAAATTCATAATACATCGTATAAAACAATTAAATAACGTATACATAACAATTATATTAAGCTCTCGTAAACTAAACAACAGTGCTCACAACCAAAAAAAACGAACAACGAGAACTTTTGTAATGTTTTTTTAAAAATAGTGACGTCGTAAAAATCAAGGTAATGGCTGGTTATATATTTCTTCCATGTACTTTCAAATATTGTTGTTAATTTTATTTAAATTTACTTGTTTTCGAGATATCAGTAGTGGACCTTTTTACCCGCGGACCTTCAAGCCGCGCTCTGCCTTATATCAAAACAAAACAAAATATTATTTAAGAACCATTTATTACACGATGCCACAAAAGCACTTTAAATTGAATAATTGGTACGTCGATAATAGAAATATTTATTAGAACTTAATAGTATAAGTGCGAAAATATATGTAATTTCATAAAATAACAATCTGCAGAACAAAAATATGAATATAAAATTACACCACAAAAATGATTAAAGTTGAATAATTAATGACTGATACTGATAACTATCCGGTTACAATAAATATCTATTTATCCACGGCCAGCAATTACTGGTAAACCAAATGTGTTATTGGATTTTCATAACAACTTCAGTTTTCCTTCCGGCTTTTCTTCGTACATTTATTCACTTCACATTTTTAATCATAATTTTCCAGGCGCTTGGCCATATGATGAATGGACAATCGATAACATAGCTAACTCGGCAATATCTACGAATACCGTATTCTTTTTTTTATAAGTAGGTAGATATGGTAATATAATTTAATAAAATGATTTTGCAAATTTGAACATTTTATTTAAATTATTTATTTAAATCATTTGTTTAAGTCATTACTTTTATTGAAATTTTATGCACATTTTTTGATGACCCACAAACATAAAGAAAATGATCAATCGATATTATAGACATTCTTAATACACACATATATATATATATATATATATATATATATATATATATAATGTTAATTCATAACAATTTGGATAGATTACTAGAATAGAAAGCGCATTTCGATCCCTTTTTCATAAATATAAGAATTGAACCCCCACCGAACTCATAGTTGTATCATAATAAATCACCTATAATCTTTTATACAGAAAACCAATCACAGATGAAATATTCACAGAAACAGATACAAAAGGGGTTCTATCAAAAACGCGAAAAACTAAACTTAAACGTCCACTTGTGTATATAGATCATGGAGGATATTGCAGAGGAGGAAAAAGATATCTTGTTTTGATTTAAAAATAAATTAACCACTTTTATAAAATGAGTTTAAATAAAATATTTGGATACTTAATTTAGTTCAAACAATAATCAAATCTTTAGTAAAATGAGTTTAATTATATTGCTTTATAAACATTTGGATACTCTATTTAATTCAACAATAATCAAATCTATTATATGTAAGAATATTGTTTATTTCAAATTTCATATGTATATTTTTCCCTTGTGATATATTTAAAAAAATTTTGTTTCAAAAAAATTACTAATGAATAAATTTTTCTATTCATGTAAATCAAGCTAATCAAATGTTCTTATTTGTAACTTTTAATTTGTAAATTGTAACTTTTGTTAATCAATTTTAATCACTAATCAAAACGAGATATTCAATTCATTTTATTTAGCACTCATCTATTTTCACAAATTTATCGTCAGTTTTTGATAACTACGAATTATATCTTCCAACATCATAAAATGTTATTATAGTCAAGTACACGATTTTAAAAATATTTTACGTGTATGTAAATGTTCAATTTTTACCAGTTTTATTATAGGGTATTAATACACATACGTATTATTCTTTGATAAATTATATTTATCAATATTTATATAAATGATAGATATTTAACATCAATGTTTGAATATTCATACATCTTCAACAGGACTTCAAGATTGCTTTGTAAATTTAAAGTAAGAACAAAATTTTTGTATTCTAAATTTTTAATGTATTTTTATATAAGGTAAACCGTTTAGTTTTAGTATTTGGTCCCTATAGCCTGCGATACTTCTCTCATTTTAATTAGCAATATCTTTTCTAAATTATTATATTTTAACTGAGTTTCAGAATTCACATTGAATAAAGAAGAAAATAAGATACATTCACAAGAATCAGCATTAAAAGATACTACTTGTGGTGCATGACATCACAATCGAGCCTTAAAATTAGACAAATTGATGTAACTTCTCGTACGTACGAATGTGTACACATCACATTCATATTTTCTAAAAAATGCCAAAATGTTCAGAAACTTCTCAGATGTAAAGATATACAAAGAAAATAATTTCGATTTTTGGACATTACTATAACTTACCCTACGAAAAGTTAAAAAAAGAGTGCGCGTAAGGATCACACGCGATTGAAGTAAAACTTATTTGCTACTGTACAAGGTTAAGTTAAGTAAAAATAAATACATCATATAACAATTTTGAATTATGTTTATTGTTAATATCGTAACACTCGTGTTGCACACATTATTAGTGTCAACCATTATACACATTTATATAATAAAAAATTATAAATTATTACGCCTAAACAAATATTGTTTTTGCAACTTCACTCACCATGTAATTGGATATGAAAAACTTCATGTAATTAAAATTGACATACATTCATTGACTGCTTGTATATGTTTTTACTTTTTTTGACGATATAATCTCGTTCTTTGAACAGCTGTAATATCTTCTTGCCTAAAAAATATTTTCCATTTTAATAACATCAAAGATTTTTAGAAAATACGAATAATATAGAAATAATTTCTAATCAATAAATTTTGTTTATAATAAATTAAAATTTGTTTAATTATTTTCAAGAAACATGGTGAAATATTCTTCTGATTCAAGCATTTTTCATTAAATCAAGATTTGTACTACAATGTGACTTTAAAATGTTTATTAATCTATGCCGATTTCCTTGTTGGTATCGGTACGCATACAACGTTGATGCTGGTACGCATACAACGACAGATCTCTTTTCACATACACGACGACTAATCACAATCGACCCGTATAGAAATGATATTATCGAGAGCGAATGACGAATCATTGGCATTCGACTCTTATCTTATCTTATCTGCCATAACGTACTTCCGTTGCATTTGTACGGATTTACACCTCAGTCGCGCCTAAAAAAGTTTTACTTAAAAAATACGATACAGAGAGCTACTTTAAACAACTCAAACAACGTTAGTCTTCCAAATATTTCTCTTTCCACTGTTAGTCTATTGTTTTATTATTCAATCGATTTTCCGAATAGCTGACCGGCAACTATGCAGTTTATAATATGCATTGTAATTTTAATTAATAGCTTTTGACTTAGGTATGAATAAATGTAGGTACATGATTTAACAATAATGTATTAACCCTTACCCTTTGAGCTCGGAAGCCGTATTTGCGTTTGGCGAAGGCAGTCGATATGTGTTTCACCAGAATGGATGCCGATGGCTTAGGAACTAAATATCAATAAACAAAAATGTATAGTTTATAAACATATAAACATTTTATATATCATGTGAAAAATCTATGTACATAAATATATTATAAATGACCAGAAATTGAATTGGAGTGCTAAAATTTGAGTTAGTATGCCAGGAATATGCGATGGAAATGTTAAATGGTTCTCATTTCACTTCGAACCGTCCTGTTCGTAAAGAGTTAAACGAATAGGTCATATATAATTTTCAAATGCCTATATCTGAAGGTGAGATTACAGGGATAACTCTTTTACCTAACTAATTTCTAATTTCCTCCTCTCTGGTTCATCTCCCGGCCGGTGGACGGTCGATCGTCCCGAACTTTCCTATTTCCTTGAGCCCTCCGCGGCCGTGTGTATGATATACGATACATAGGAGCGGGCTTTACGCGGATATCTAAGAACACATCTCCGGCTGGATAGTTTTCGATTTATCACCAGACGCGTTGGCCCTACCCGAAACGCATTACCTAAGTATAGTATTATATGCGTGCGTTACATTTTGCGACAGATAGATCTCGCTGCCACCAGGCATTGTTATAAATTTGCGTACGAGCGCCACGAATGTGTTTCGATGTCACGGAGTGGAGTCGAATGGGATTGTGCGATATGATTCAGAGGACCACTTCAATTTGACAGACGTGCGGTGGCTGCTTTGTAACCTTGCTGTCTCGATGATGTTATGTGAAATATGCACGGTCAATACTTGTAAACGACATAATAATATATGTATTAAGTTATTTGTTTTCGGATGCGTTACAGCTAAACTGGATACCATCATACACGGACGTCTAATCACTAGACTCGCATTTGATTTAGACATTTTAGATACTACCAAAAATTTGCTAATTTATCATATGGAGTAGGTGCAGATATTAGGAAAAAAGTTGTCTGTTAATTGGTATACATATAAATATAATTTTATATTAACTCTTTCGCTTGACCACCTCTGTGTACTAGAGTCGCTGATAGACGTTTCGACGTGACGACTTTCGTCTCAAGATTTATCACCGACAAGGAGAACTTCAGGTTTACTATGCTGGGATTTTTATGAAATATTGCATGGTGATACAGTTGTTAGTGAAACCGAACGCCATTAAATAGTATAGGCCTATGAGAAGTGGTTTAATTATAAAAAATAAGTAAAAATGCGAAAAATAGACGGCGCGTAAGACGTACTCATAGATACTTGTAGAGTATTTTAGAAGTGTAATTTTTAAGTTTAAAATATATTTTTATTGATAATAGTAAGAAAATTTTAAAATGTTAGTATATAGTATATTTAAATATTCGAGCATCTTGCTGACTCGTACAGCAGTATTATTCACGTGGAAAATATCACCGTAGAGAAAATATTAAATCCGCATTCATTGGTTACCTCTTGATGCTATATATTTTAACAGTTATTTAATTTTCAAATGTTTTAAATTAATTAAAGATCATGGAAAAAATAGTCTGCAATATAACTAATTTTTGTATATTTTTAGGTTTATTACGAAATGGAAGAGAAATTGCAGGCATATTAAATAATACCAGTTTCTAGTTTCAGTCAGTTTTAAGAGGTCAGTATTTAAATTTTATTATATATAAATACTCATACATAAATGCTATAATATTTTAGATAATAATACAGACAACCACCTTTTATTATTAAAATGAAAATACTGTTATGTCAAAAAAATTCATACATTTGTAGTCTGTCTTCACAAAAGCAAAACCACACAAATTACTTAAATACCGTCAAATGAAAAACAAAAGATATGTTACTTTTTTATTTTTATTTGTTTATATTCATAAAATTTGATTGTTAATGAAAGAATAAAAAAATTACGTATTTATGTATAAAACTCGTTTAAAGATATATAAAACTAATATCCAAGTTGAGTTATGAATGAAAACTAAACTTACAATATCGTAATATAAGGACTCGAAGAGTATTGAAGGTTACACATATCACATATTTTCAAACATTACTTGTTTATTTTTATTCCTAATAATTGAGTTGATGCCTTTATGAAACCTTTTTTACTTTACGTTATTTTAAACTTTATATTTTATAATTTCAATTAAAAGTTTATTATTTTATATTTGAATTGTTTCTTGTAGAATTGATATTAGAAATTCTATTTGCTATTCCATTGACAAGCCATTTCCTTTTATTAAGCTGCAACTTAATAAAAATTTTAAAAAAATACCTGAACAAAAATTGATTATTACCTATAAATAGGTAATGAAATCCAAACATTTTTACATTATTGAATTATGCGTCTTTCAAGTCATAGTGGCATATAAAATTTGCATTTCTGTATTTGATTTTTTTTTTAGTTAAAAAGCTTAGCAATGGTTATAAAAATTGTGAGTTGTCCTTACAACGTTTTAGTCATCTCATGCAAAATTTACGATTATTTGACAAAATGTCGAAAAATTTGGAATGTGACCTGAAAGTTACGCAGGCCCATAGAGGATTAATATTAATTAGAATAATTTTAAGCCTATTAGAAAGTACAAATTCAATATTTTTAATTATATTGGTATTCTAATTATGTTTTCAACGCAAAATTCTCTTTTTCTAATATGACTATATCTTACATATTGTGCATAATGGTCTATTTGGAAGTACTTATATAATCTAATATAAGAATAATCGAAAATCGACTATACACGAAGCAGCAGACTTATTATAAAAAGCAGTATTTCCATCTCCTTGCTAATATCTTTTTTATGAAGACCGCATATAAAATGCAAGGAATACAAAACAAAGAAAAAACTAGATCAATTCTAATGGCATCGCGCACAAAGTCTTAAGCAAAATTACCGTCGTTATGAACTTAGGCAATCGTTGGTACTCAGTACTCACGATCACCAACAAACGGATACGGTTGGCAGACATAGTACTAGTACCAGTGCATTTAGCTAACTTTACTCATTATCCGCGGGTACCGCATTTGCATCTAACCACACTCTCATATCGGAGAACAACTAACCGCAAAGTCAATTATAAACTTCTAGGGAAGCCAAGCTGAGTTGCTAGCAACTAGCTCGGTTTTAGGGGAAATTGGAGCGGGGCGACCGAGACAACTTTGGGTATAAATCTGTGCCTTAATTATGTGACGTTTACCTAAAAACCAATCTTGCGGAAAATGCAGAGTCATTTCCAAAGATCGAAATATATTTGCATTTTCTGCACACGAATCAATCAATTTGAATTATTCAAAAAACATTCGATTCTATTTGATAAGGAGACGTGCCGATTAGATTTTGTCAAAAGCAGGTTCAGCCGTTTCGAAGATAGGTGGCAAAAAGTGCCAAAAATGGTAATGCAAGAGAGAAAACATTTGATTTGTATAGACAAAACAAACAGCTGATGAGATTTTTTACATTTTGTTTCGCGATTGCTTTGAAAAAAAGTTCAAAATTTCCAAAATATTAATTAAAAAAAAATTTCAAAGTTATTAAAAATCTTTTTGGTACGAGAAGTTCCTCACTAGCTTCCTTCTAAAAACTTGAGTCACAAAACGCCACTTATGTTTAACGTCCACTTATTATGACGCTTTTGTCAATTTGTCAATAATATCAACATAATATTTTTTTTTATAAATATCAATTATCAATTTTTCTGTAAATTTTCAACTAACAATTATTTCCGGATGTTTATTATTATTATTATTATTATTATTGTAAATCAACGAATATGTTTATAATCGCTATTTTATATGAAAATATTAATTTATTATTCATTGTTTTGGAATAATATAATCTAATAAAGATAATAATATATTTGTAAAACAAAATAATGAATTAGCTTAATTTAGTGAAGTGTAATGGCCGATATTATTGTACGCTGCCCCTGTGTACAATGCGACAACAAACAGAAGCTTCTGAAGAATACAGACCATACAGAACAAGGCATTACGACGAGTACTAAACAAATCGCGAGATCCACTGACAAGACACTACTGTTCAGCAAAATACATTCATGAAAAAGACTAACGACTATATACTGTCGGTACGTTTAATATATATGAATAAATTGAATTTAAGATTATTTATTTATTTTGGGTAAAAAATAAGTTATGACTATGATAAGATATATTAAGATATGTGGATAATTAAATAAATGAGTAAATTGTCAAAAAAACACAAAATGGTCTTTCTAATTTGATAGACTGACAAAAAATAAGAGTATTTAAACAAAAGAAATAAAAAGATCATATTAATAGTCAACTTGCAATATTGAGCATTTGTGCAAAAAATAATAAATTAAGTAGATAAATTGCGTTGCCCTCCTCACATGTGTGAATAATCGATTAAGCCAATTATATTTTGTTTGGTCTATGAACTTCTTCTATGGTTCTATGAACTTTGTCTACATCTATTTATTTTTACTTTTCTATCTGTTTACCTGCGTACCTCGCTGGAGAGGCTTTGAAAATTTTCATCTCGAATGTAGGGATCACGATAGCATTGGCATTCAGACACTTGGCCAATTTACAAAAAAAAATAGTTTGGTATTGCAAACACTCCATGCCAAACTATATCCTGACCAACCCATAACGAAAATTGGAATACCCTTACAACAACATAATTATGTAGTTTTCTTTATAAGACTATTTATATGTAATCTATTTGCTTTTTTTAATATGTTTTATATTAAAAAATGATATATCTTTTATCAAAAAAATGTGAAACCATGCTTTTTATCACAATTTAGCTAATATGCACATAGCATATTAGTTATTTATAATATTTATTACATCTGTAAGACACAATTCCCGCCGGTGGGAGGTTTAACTCTTCACAAAATCTAATATTGAATGCTCGTGTAATATTCATTGAAATATATGTTCATGTTATGTTATGTATGGTGATGAAATAATAAATAATTAAGGGACTGATCCTGCCGCATAACATAAAATGTTATAGCAAGGCCATGTTACACTCCAACTTGCATATTTTATGCTACTGAATCATACAAAATACTGTCAAAATGTCATGTATTTGTTGTGCATTCAGGCGTTTCACACATAAATTGCAACGCCACTCATATGTTATGAAGATGTGTCGGAAAGATCCTGTTATCTAAGATCGTTTTTTTGACATCTGTGCGGTTTCTAGGTTAGGTATACTATCTGACAACCTGAGAAATACGCCCGACTGCACAGCAATCACATGGCTTTTTCAATATTTAGTATAGAAAGTTAGTAGTTCATAACATGGTCATGCCATAACATTGGCCTGTTATGCGGCAGAATCGGTCCATAAGTAAAGTACCGTATTCAAATCAAGTGCACCTAACAGGCAAAACGGTTTTGAATAGATGTTTCAAGTTGAAAATTTATTACGAATTTGTTACTACTCTATATTATCGAGTAATAATAATTAATGAACTAGTGAAGTGCATGGCATTGTGCCTTAAGGCAAATTGCTGGATCTTTCTATACCGTAATTAAAACTCTTTGTATGGAACCTAAAACAACTTACACAAAATGTGAACACTTTATTAAAATCCCTATAAAATATCTTATAATTTGATGTACATATGTCCAATAAACATTTTTGAACGCCAAATGACATTTTTTTAACTTATTTTTATTGAGAGTTTATAACTGCTGGACCTGCCTTCCCAAAATTTTAATCAGTTCTTCATCTTGTCAATACAAGTAAAATGTTTTTTGAATTATTAAAAGCGGACGCTCCGTTCTCTTAGAAACTGAGTTACCAATCTTGGCACTTTTTGCCCCGTATCTTCGGAACGGCTAGATCTGCCTGCGCCAAGTACTAATCACCACGTCTGCTTATCAATGCGAATCGAATGTTTTTTGAATTATTCAAACCGGTTGATCGGTGTTTTCGAAATCGTGGACGAATATTTGTATCTGCACACACACACATATACACACACCTACATCCATTTTTTCTAAGGTATGCCAAAATATTCAAAAACCTTTGAAACGTAAAGATATGTAACAATTTACATTTTCGATTTTATTGCGATTACTATAACTTACTCTATGGGAAGTTAAAAATTATGACCTTATGAAAATATAAGTTTTCCGAAAAGAAATGTTAACATTTAATTACAATTTATAGACTAATCTACTAATATTAATAGGATCATCTCTATAATAATCATCTCTATCAATCATCCCTATTAAATTTTGATTAAGTACAAATGGATTGGCTGTTGCTTACTTGTATTCTTTCTTTTTTTTAACTTGATTATTATATTATATTATTTTATTATAACACCACATTATTAATTAAACAATTGTGTGTTTCAAATAAATAATTACTTTACTTCAAAAACTGCTTCACTAAGTACTTATATAAATTATACTTTATACAATTAATTCGGTTTTCCCCTACGCTGAACTTCCAACCCGCTGAATAGACACAAAATGGGTTGCGCGTTCTAAGGCGGTCTCGTATTTAGCGTATTAGACATAATATCAACTACACTGAATTGCAATTTACGAAGCCGGCAACTAACGATGGAGCGACTGAAGTTTTCTCAAGTTTCAAGTATTTTAATTAAGGTTCTCTCCGCCTTGTTGAGGTAATT